GTTTAAATAACAATTATAAAGTTGAAAAGTAAATACAAATTAGAATATAATATCCAAATACTTAATTGGCATAGGTCTTTCAAACGGAAGCAGCATCAAAATATCAGAAAAAATCAAGGCCGTAGAAGTAGGAACTAGGTGATTACTGACTTGATTCGGATTACGTACTCTAAATTTTTGATGCTGCTCGTGGCCAGCCGGCACAACGGTTTCGCTGTCGACGACATCTAAGGCAAATCTCACAATATTTTGCTTTACAAAAATCTTTAAACCTATTTACATCTATTGAACTATTTACATATCTGCGACAAGTTGAGTTTGTGCTCATCCAGCAGTTCTATGTTACGTTGTACCAAGGCTTGCATAACGCCTTCAGTTTTAATATATTGTACATTCTTGTAGTTTCTGAGCAGCTGCCAAATGTGTTTGTCCTGCTTGCTGGCGACCACATACAAATGCACATTGCTGGCAATCGGAGGCGCTTTAGTGTGAACCATTCCCCCGGCGCATTCAATGATAGCTGTGAAATTAAACAGAACTCTTAGATGAACTGCATGGAGCTGTAGATTTAATTACCTTTCATGTCCGTGATATTCGGCTGGATGTCACCAGCGAGCATAAAATCTAGTCCTTTCAATAAACTGGGATTTTCAAATACTGATAAGGGCTTAAATTTGAAGGTTTCCTCGAACTTTTCATCCTTGAATATATGATCCGATTGTACGATAATAGAACGTGTTTCCTTCATGCCGTGTAGCCACTTAGTCGACAAGATGGGTTTATTCGCTGCAATTCCAACCAAAAATTTATATGTACGTTCACCCTTGTCCATGATGAGCAAATCACAGTCTAGTGGATCCGTAGTGACTTCTATAGCATCTATAAAGAGGAAAATATATTGACAATAAAACTTCGTAATCAATTGATAGTAACTTACTTCTTAAAGATGCCAATACAGCGTTCAGCTCGGTATAATTGCACATGGATAGTGCTAAGCGGATTTTTCTGCCCGAAATTTTTATCTTCTTTATATAGTCGTTTATATCTGGAAAATACTCAAATTACCATAAACTGTAAGCGTTTCAATAGTTCAACAGGCACCTTTTAGTGATTTCCGACTAGGCAACTTATTTTTGCGGGTATCTGTGGAGAAATAGAAAAGTGGTTAAATATCACCAAATCCTAAATTACACAATTTCTACACATACCATGCGTTGAGGCATTAGAACTAGTCGTTGGCTCCTCTTCCTTGTCACTTTGAAAAGCTTCTTGTGATGTTTTTCGGCTGCTCTTATTTTTGGAAATGCCACCTACTCCATTGACCTTCTTTTTGGCTTTGGCAATATCTTCTTTAGTTTCCTCAGTCACTGTAAACAATAAACATAATATAAAGTATAAATTATAAACGTATAATACATAAAATACGACCCGCACGGACTCACAATCTGTTTTGCTGGTCGACTTGCGGAAACTTCTAAGGCTAGGTGCAGGCTCCTTTGAAGGTTCCTTTGACGAGCTGGTATCTTTTTCGGTGGGCACCTTTACTGAGCGCCGTAGTTCTTTTCTTGTGGACAGTGCTTCGTCAGTTTTGGCAGCATGCTTTTGATTTTTGGGATTTTCATTGCCATTTGCTTCAATAATATCAACTAGTTGGGATTGTCTTCTAGTTCTGCGGCTTACTGGTTGTCTGTCCTGGTTAGTAGCTGGTTTATCATCGCTCGAGTCCTTAGACTGTTTAGGTTTTCTTAATTTACTTTCCATGCTGTAGCTTACAACTTTACTATCATTCTTCTTTTGCTCTTGCCTAGGCTCGGTTGCAATTTTATCTTCATTGGTAGAATCTTCGCTTTGATAGGTTGATGCAGCACTCGTCTCCGATAATTCTTCTGTTTTGTTACGAGTTTTGCGTAATCTCTCCCGCATGCTGCCTTTCTTAGAAGCTTCATTTTTTTGCGGTTTGGAGTCTACGATGTCGTCAGATGTTGCCTGGGATGTTTTGCCGCGTGTTTTTTTCGGAGCTGCAGGGATTTAAATCAGTTCATAAATTGCTAAACAAGAACAAAACTTCTGAGACTCACGCGCTATGGATTCCTCGTTAGACAGTGACGATCGCTTCCGTCTTGTCTTTGTTTCTATCGCTAGAGTTTCAGGCCCGGACGCTGCTGTTCCTGATTGCGTGGGCGATTTTGAATGCTGGCGAGTGCGCCTTTTTTTGCTTGCTGTAAGAAAACTTTGTACCTATTAGTTGCTATATAAATTATATATAATTAAAGCTTACTTGAAGCTTGTGGGGATACTGAACGAGGAGAAGCACGTCTGCGGCCATAACTTTTGCTTGCTTTTTGTTGACCTTCCTGTATGGCGTCCATTTCATTTGGGAGCTCCTTAGATGGCGGTATCTGCAAAAATGTTCAGTATATTTCTTGGTAAAGATCATGTCGATATGACATTCTTCGAACTGATAATATTCGATTTACTCGGACATGCTCTTAAGTTCGAAAATGCGAAAGTACCTTTTTTTCATTAGTTTTCTCTAAAGCGTTGGATTGCATATCAAAATTAGGTTCCTCATCATCTAGCGGTGAGCTCGGCATTGCAGATAGAGCAATTAGTTGGCTGAGATCTTTATCAAGTTCATCTCCAATTTTGATGGAATCGGGAACATGAAGCACGACAGCCGAACTTTCATTAGCTAGAACACAAATTAACGTTAAGCTGATATAATATACATATAATATTTCCATATTACCTGCAGTTTTATCAGTTTTGTTGGTGGGTGGGATAAACAATTGAGTCTCCATCATATCTTCGGTGTTATTATGAATTTGAGCAGTGATATTCAGTATTGTATCTACTGCTTTATTTGACACAGTTGTTTGGGGTCTAATAAATGCCTGTGTGGCAATAAAGTCTTCAAAATTGTCTTCAGTTCCATTTGGCGTTGGCTTTGGCGAAGGCACTGGATGTGTTGCTTTTGTGGGGAATACCTGTGTTTCAATGAAGTCTTCGTTATGGTTGTGAATTTGGGCTGTAATACTCAATCTTGTGCTCATCGTTTCATTCTGTTTGGGTGTAGATGGCTTGGGTCTTACAAACGCCTGTGTGGCAATAAAGTCTTGTAAATTGTCCGAGGATACGTTCGTTTTACGTTGTCCTGCTATTCCCATAGGAAATGCTTGCGTTTCAATAAAGTCCTCGTCATTGTTATCCGCATTTGAAATTTGTAAATGCGTGGGTGCGTTTCGCGCTGGAAATGCCTGCGTTTCAATAAAATCTTGCGAGTTATCTTGCAGCTCAGCTGGAGTGGGCTCTGGTGTCTCAATATTTGTAGCAGCTGGCTGCTCTGCAACGCCAAGCTTTTCGTTGTCATCGACTTTATTCGATGGGCTAGAGAGCACCGTTGCAGGCAGATTTAAATCAGGCGTGCACGAGCCTAAGCGTTCATTTGGTTCAACATCGAACATATCAAATATATCTGGAGTGCAAGGAACATCATTAAGCTCTTCTGATTTTTGCCCTGCAACAGATAGATCTGGTGTAAGGCAAATATCGGCACGCGAAGACACATCGTTAGCCTTGGTGCTGTTTAATGCAGTGCATTTTGAATTGGATGCAGACCAATTCAAGGCACTCATATCCAAGTCTGCACCTGAGTTATCTGAAAAGCAGAAAGTTAAATCTATAATATTCCGATGAAGATAACGCGTTGAATTACCATCTGGCTGCCTGGTAGGAGGAAACACTGTCAGACCACCATCGCCAAGTAGGAGCGAGGAGTCAAAATCATCAATGGCATCTTCATTGTACTCATTGAATTCCTGCGTGCAAATGCGTATTTGAGTGCCTAGCTCGGAGCCATCGTCTTCACTGACAATATCCTGATCTTGATTCAATAGAACAGGATTATTAACATTCAGCATGACATCTTGGGTTTCGGGAATCAAAAAATCATCGCCCAATGAAACTTTGGAATGCTCGTGACCGCTTGAAGGTCGATTAAAGCAAATAGCCTGAGTTTCAGGAATGGTGAAACTTTCCATATTTGCCGTATTGTTTGCAGACTGCGGCTCAGATTCAGGAATTAAAAGGCTTCCAGAAGTTCTATTAAACGACTTATCTTTCGTCCCCTCCTCAAAGCCACTCGTGTCGTTTGCCTGCAATGAAAATGGTTTATCATTTGAAATACTCTTTGACTGATATAATTACCGCTCCGTTATCCAGGTGCTTGCCATCGTTAAATTGCAGCTTGGCAGCCACATTACCAAAGCGCAAATCCACAAGGCCGTTGACGGCATCTGCTTCGCTTATGCTCTTTATTTCCAGACCCGTTTCCAGGCCCTTCACGTAAACTTTGCCAGTCGCAGCTGATACACGCACGATTCCGCCGGCTATGATAACAATTGTAGCATGCGCGAGCTCAATAGACTGAGGAACCAAGTAAATATAGAAAGGCACTTCAATTTGTGTGTAGTGCGAAGGAAGCAATAAGACCTCTCACCTCATCGTCTATAAAAAACTCTAGGCCCAACCGGCGTCCGACACGATATATGATGTCTGGTTCCAGCTCAACTGCCACTTTGTTAAGGCCATCTATGCTTAAGGCCACCATAATTATAATGATGAACAATGATTAAAAATACAAAAAAATGGCGCGGGCGCGAAAATTGATGATAGCTTCGTGTCCAAAGTGGGCTTCACTTGGACTCTACTACTCTGACCACTGGCAGCAACACTTAACAAAATAAACAACAATATTAGTTTATAACATTAAGTCACCAAAACAGTATAAACAAATGGCTTAACATGAATATTCACAGGTCCAAAAAAATAGAAATATACAAAACTCCGTTTCTTCCGCTGGTCCAGCAGCCGGAATGCAAGTGTGACCGGTACTAGGTGAAAATAAAAATGCTTAAAGCGAGAGACAACAGACCGCTCACAGTAAAGAATGTAATTGTCGCTGTTATGTTAATAACATTCTGTATATTTTGACAGGGATGTCAGTCTTCGTGACAAAAACAAATAAAATAGAACAGGAAAACGACATTTATTTGTAGATTTTTTTGTAAATAATTTTTCACATGTGTAAATTTGCTTAGTAACAAATAAAAACATGTCCGCACGAATGCTAAAAAAGATGCAGGGCGGATCAGACATTCTAGCTACGCCGCCCGATGATGAATTAGACAACGACCACTTAACTGACAATGACGAACTAGACACGGTCAGAGGAAAATCGCATTTAAATCCATTTGATTTGGTTAGTATACATACGTTTTCAATGTGCGACGTTGGCTTTACTAAATCATGTGTGATTTGCAGCTAAATCAACAGAGTCTCTCGGAGAGCGAATTCAAAGAGGACGACAACGAGACGGAGCACCCATCGGCGGCAATACAGGCAAATACCGCTGCTAAAAAAAAGAAGAAGAAACGGAAGAAGAAGGTCAGGTCCCATGGCAATCATATCAGTAGCGAAGACAATGAGCGCCAGGACAAATACTTTGAGAAAGTTGATCCACTTCTGGGCAAAGTCTACGATGCAGTGCCCAAACAATTGGAGAAGACACCGGCGCCACCAACAGCTGCAGGAGCAGCTGGCGGCGGACAAAAACTTTTAATGGTAGAGCTAAAGCACTTGAATCAACAAAACGAGATGCGACGCACTTTTGGCAGGCGGGTTGTCAAAGTTGAGTAAGTTTCTATCAACAATAACTAAGCTTGGTTATGGTAATAATTTGACACTTTTCTGTTAGAAATAAGCGCGGTCGCCAGAAGACTACACTTAAATCCACCTACATGGTAACTGCCAAGGATTCATGGCCGCCGCTAACCAAAAACATCATCACAATGAAGTTGCTGCCAACACCCGAAACGCCTGGCACATCCACCAGTCCGAGAATTCAAATAAACGACGAAGAGAATGTGCAATGGTTCACATTCCAGCACAGTCAGTACTATCAGGGCGTGCAGCACATGTTTCTGTCTGCATTGGAACGCATTGATTCGGAATTTTTGATTACACTTATAAAGCGTTGTCCGTACCATGTCGACTCCCTGGTGCAGCTAAGTGAGGTTTGCAAGATGACCGAGGACTTTGCTCTGGCGTCCGAGCTGATCGAGCGTGCACTGCTGCTGCTGGAATCTTCACTGCACATCAACTTCAGCCTGACGTCTGGCAATTCGCGTCTGGACTACAGACGACAGGAGAATCGCGCCTTTTTCGTTGTGCTCTTTAAGCACGCTCAGTACTTGGAGGAGCGTGCCTGTTGCCGGACAGCTTTCGAAATCTCCAAGCTGGTATTGAGTCTGCAGCCTGATGTTGATCCGTTGGCCATGGTACTAGTCATCGACTATTACGCCTTACGCAGCAAGCAATTTAGCTGGCTAGTGGAATTCTACGAGTTATATAATTCATCACGCAATCTTGCCCAGTTGCCCAATATGGCATACTCTTATGCGCTGGCGCTTTACACGCTGCACGGCAGATGTGAGCGTGCCAATGAGGCGCTGCAATATGCGTTGCTCATGTTTCCCGGCGTGCTGCGTCCGCTGCTGGATGAGATGTCTGTGCAGACGGATAAACGCGTGCTAGCCTCATCATATTTCTTTACCGATGTGTCTGGCGAGTGAGTCACCATTTACCACTATCAAGCTCGGTTAGCCCAATCTAATCAATAAACTCTCTTTCTCCGTTTTAGTCAATCGCCAGCGCTACACCAGCTTGTTTGCTTGTATGTGTGCCGCGCCAAGGTTGTGTGGCGTCAGAACGATGTTCTCTTTTGGCTGGAAACAAATGTAAATGCTGTAATGGATCGCATAGACAGCAAAGATCCGATTATCAATGATTACAAAGATAAACGATCAGTTCGCTACGGCGGCACACCACCTCGTCCCATTCTACGACATGTCATACTATCTGACTACAAGGAGAAGGTGCCGCTGGCCGTTTTCGTCTCGAAAGAGAAGCAGGCCATCATGACATACGATCCGCTACCACCCGTTGACAGTGTCAATTGCTACCAGCGGTTAGTTAAAGAAAATAACTATGACTGGATCCTAGAGGATTTTCATTGCTAACTTCTTGATTTCACAGAAAATCATCTTCGAGCAGCAGCCCAACCACAAATACCAACAACTCTGTTTCTATGTTTTTCCAATCGTTGTTGCCATCATTCAATCTGAACAATATTGCGGCTGTACACCAACAACCGGACGCCGCAGCAGAGGCTGGCGCCGCAGCACCAGAAATTGTTGGCTTTCCACAGCGTCAGCCCAACGTTCAAGGCGAAGCAGAAGGTTAAATTTTGATTTGGTTTTGTCTCGTTTGTAAATTTTAATTAGAAGTTTTTCTGGTGGCAACTTTCTCATTATCTCTGTGTATATTTGTTAATTTATTCCTGTAGAAGCTGGTATTCAGCAATCGTTGACTTTGATGATGGACGCCATGCGTGACTTTTTGCAAAACTTTCGCATTGCCGAGCACTTGCGCTCTCCAGAAACAGCCGTTGCCCAGTCGAGCAGCAGCAATGACGACGAGGAAGAAGGATCTAGCGACTATGTGGATTAGAACAGTCAGTCAATTAATATTATTATTATAATATATTGTATCCCTCACAGCCACTTAAAGACAACAATGCACATTTCTATAAACTAAAGAGTTTAATATTTGCATCGCTTAGTATGCAGCATCCCAGAGCGAGGCTCTCGCGTTAGGGTTTTTAAAAAACTTGTCGCTTTTTGTTGCTTAGCCGCAGCTGTCACAAAATTTCAATATAATTAAATTTCTAATACACATGTGTATTCATCCATTAATAAATTTTTTGTCAAAGCTTTAGAACAAACAAACAACCGAGCATTTTCACTATTTTGGTTTAAGGGGCAATTATTATAGATGTTCATGTCACCTTGAGCTTAAAGAATGTTTTATTGATTTAATGAATGCCTTTTTCAGTTACGCTTATCAATATAACAAACAGATTTCTCATCAATATTAGATTTCATCTTTTTCTCTTTTGCATATAAACCTTTTGCAGTTATTGCAATTTATAAATATTACTATGACAAGTACAATTTCATATATAATTGTGTTTGGAGCGGGATTCAATGAAGAGCCGTTTGGTGTGTGTGTGTTTGTTTGTGAATATGCATGTGTGTTGGATGTGTGTTTGGGATATAAAAAGTTACACATATACAATTATATAATCTTGTAGAAGTAATGCACCTTATAAAAAGTTTAACTGGCAGACATTGTTGTTTAAAGATCTTTTAGCTTAAATTCAAAATCAGAATCACACAAGAAATAAACATTTGGCCAAATATGATTTACGCGTATTGCTGATATATAGAAACATTTTAGACAACTTTAGAGCTTAACACATAGAAAATCATTACTAACGGCTAAGCAATACTATAGCGTGGAATACGTGATCGCATATTGAATATAGAAAACGAAATCAAAACGAAAATAATAAGTAATAATAACGCGGAATTCGACAGACAGCCACGCACTTTAAACGATTATGATTATGTCATGGTACCAAAGACGGGGTTATGACGGCAAATGCTGGGTCCGTACTCCTCATAGGCAGCCTTTGTGTGACATACCTGATAGAACTCGGGCTGCAAAGAAAATTTAGTTATTTCCGATATGTTCCATTTAATGGTATTCAATACTTACCGTTGAAGCCAGCATGCTGCCTCCAAACCAGACGGCATAACGTTGCATATGATGCGTGATCACTTGCACGTCAATAGGTTTTGGCTGAAACCGATAAATGTTTAAGATTATGACTCATTGATTTAATTCGTCAGCATATCTATCTACCTTAATGCGTCCCTCAGACAGGTTCTCGCTAATGCGCAAGCGAGTGTCCACCGATCGCTTAATGTCGCGTTGCAAGCGTCTACCAAAGTCTTTGAACATGGTCGAGCCGCCGCTCAGCACAATATTGTTATAGAGAGGTCGTCGTACATCGATTGGGCAGTTTTGTATGACATTGTCAACAATCTCCGATAGCGGTATAGTAAAATCTGGATTTGAGAACTCAGGATGAAAGAAGATTTCCGGTCCGAGAAAACGTTCATAGCCCACATCGACGCTGAACGGCTGTTTCGTCACCGTGTTGAGGCCCGTAAAGTTGCGTATCCATTTACTGGGCTCCGCATCGTACTTGGCAAACTCTTTGGCAATGTCTGGGCATATGTAGCTGTGTTTCTCTTTAATCGCTTTGGCAGTCTCGAGGCTCTGTTCTGGCGGTATGCCTACCTCCCGTTCACGCAACAAACTTTGAATGAACGACGTAATGTTGCGACCGGCAATCGGTATATGCTTGATGCATGAACCAATCACGTAACCTTCCGCCTGTTGTACAGTAAGGGGGAGGTAAAGAACTGAGATAAGATATGCAGGCCAATTGAATAATGTTACATACATACCACGGGAATAACATGCGTCACACCATCACCGCTGTCTACTACAATGCCGGTTAGCGTGCGCTCTTCCACGGATCTAGATGCCCAACTGGCAGCCAAGGCCAGGACGGCCTGTACCGCAATATAAAGACCAGGAACATTAAACGTTTCAAACATGATTTCAGCGGTATATTCTCGATTCTCTGGCGTATTTAGTGGTGGCTCGGTCAGCAGAAAATGATGATCCTCTGGCTCGGCGCGCAAATACTTGAACACGCATTGCTCCAAGAAGCGCTCCATGAGATCCCAGTCTTCGACCAGGCCATGACGCACAGGATACTATAAACACAAAGGTTTAACACTTAAGTAAATAAGTCAACAATAATGTTTGAATCTTTATGTTTAAACACTTTTGGCCCACATATCACTTCATATCAGCTGTTTTCATATTGCGACGAATTTACAAATTTCGATACGGTAGGATCGGTAAAGATAATACTGCTTTCTTACTTTAATGGAGTAGCCCGTGGCGTCGAACGCCTCGTCGCCAATAAAAAAGTCCAGATCCTCAATGCCTTTTGTGACGCGTCGCTTATTGGTGTCGCCCACACCTGCTGACTCCTTGATGGCAATTGCCGAGGGTATTATAAATTGTGGCTCCTTGTTGCCAGCATAACCCAGTTTAGTGTAGCTACAAAGATAAACATTGGATCATGAGGCTTTAATATAGCCAATGCACCTCACTCCACTCCACAGACGATGACAGCAGCTACAACTACCACACACGAAACTTACCCGGTGCCCACATCGATTACGCATGCCGGTAGCCTGCCTGCCATGTTGACTGAGGATTTGATTAATTTTGCTATTTAACGGGCTAAATTACACTTTAAGCTTGAATTTCACACCACTTTCAACTGGATTGCCTTGCTGATAAACACCAAACTTTATAAATTTTCAACCACACCTCCTCCAGCGACGATGTGTCATTTAGAAAAACTTCGCTCTTTGTCACTCACACACACATTCACAACATCTATATGGACAGCGTTGCATTGACTGAATGCGTTTTACAACACTGTCGAAAACAATCGAAACTATTAGTGTCAACAACGATAATATATCATCACACGCTTCGTGCGGACTCGCAAATTTCGGCGCTGTGTGTGTGGCTGTGACAGCCTTTTTCCACGTTTTTCCTATTAACGTATAATTTTGCTATTGGCCTTGCCAGTGCACCATTTATATCGATAATTAAGCTAAACGTTAGCGAATTGCGGGTGCTTAGTGGGCGCTTCTTTGTTTGTGCAGCAATCACAGCAAAACCGGCGAATAGGACAATCCACATATACGAAAATGGAGGCACAAAAATTGACGGAACTGTTGCGCGCAACCATTGATCCAAATCCGGAGCAAAGGAAAGCGGCCGAGGATCAATTAGCACAAGTAAGTGACCAGCTACTAACCAGCAAAGTGCCATGTCGCGATCTTATTTCTACTACCCCAGTGGCGCCTTCGCCAAAGCATGAAGAAAACCATGTGCTTTTTTAATTGTTCGCTTTTAACCTCCCTCCCTGTCTATCTGCTCTGTATGCGTGTGTGCGTGTATATGTGTCCGTGTGCTGCTGTGCGGGCGTGCTAGTGTCAATAGTAAATTGATATTGGCCAAAAACAGCAGAAGGCAGCGACTATTTCTTGTTTGCAATACATTTAGCAAGCTGTGGCACACAATTTGGCCCGTTGGCCCTACGGCCGTGCGGCAACAAGTACTGTTGATGGGAGACGCGCGGGTGGTGCGCTTACAAATGCACTGAACGAATCAACATACACATGTGCAAAGTGTCTGTGCGTGTGTATGTGTGTGTGTGCGTGTGTGGTGCACCGTGTCTTGGAATTCATTTGAAATAATTGAAAACCGTTTTCTTCCGCATATAGTACAAACTATTTGGTAAATTTAAATAAAAACCCTTTTGCTATCCTTAAAATAGCAAAAATTCTTAACAAACTAATTGAAATGCTTACGTTAAATTAGTTTTACACTAGCTTTGTATGAAATTAATTGAAGGCAATTAAGTTCTCTTAATGAGACACAGCATTACATTTTCTTCAATTAGCTGCGCAGCTTGTACCACTGTCCAAGAGCCTCTTGTTTTGTGGCTGAGTCAGCTTCTAACAATTTCCATGCCCCTCCTTATTCAATCGGTTAATTAACTTTATCAGCATATATTGCAAATTACTGCCACGGCCACGGCACACTGTTCAGAGCTTCTTTAATGGGCGAACGCATGCCATTTAAATATATAGCATGTATATATGGGAATTGTGCTTAGAATTTTAAGTATTACGATTTGGGAGGAGCTTCGTGGCTGGTGCTGCATGTATTGCTATTGTTTTATCAATATAATTTTCCAATCTTTGGATTGGCATGCGAAATGTTATCCCTTGTGTATGCCACTGAATCGAATTACTCATACGCCATGTTATGCGGCAGCTGTGTAAACAAATCAACAGACGGAAAACCTATTTACACATGTTCTCTCACGTTCTCTGCCTCAGATACACAAAATCATTGGTTTTGTGCCCACCATTCTGCAAATCGTAATGCAAACTACGCTGGAGCAGCCGGTGAGACAGGCTGGCGCTGTCTATCTAAAGAATCTGATCAATAGCAGCTGGTCGGATCATGAGACTAAGCCCGGTGAGCCCATACCGTTTTCCATCCATGAACAGGATCGCGCCATGATACGTAGCGCCATTGTGGATGCCATTGTTCATGCTCCAGAGCTGATCAGGTAAGCTGCGATCACATTTTCGGTATTCAGTTCAACAAAATCTAATCATGATTGTGATGCCCTCTACAGAGTTCAGCTCTCAGTCTGTGTTAATCATATCATAAAGAGCGATTTTCCCGGCCGTTGGCCCCAGGTGGTGGACAACATCAGCATCTATTTGCAAAATCCGGATGTAAATGGCTGGAACGGCGCCCTGGTCACCATGTATCAGCTGGTCAAGACCTACGAATACAAACGCTTTGAAGAACGCACGCCGCTCAATGAAGCAATGAATTTGCTGTTGCCAATGATTTATCAGCTCATGATGACGTTGCTCAACGATCAGTCGGAGCAATCGGTGCTGTTGCAAAAACAAATACTCAAGATTTATTATGCACTAACGCAGTACAGTCTGCCGCTTGATCTCATCACTAAGGAGATATTCTCGCAGTGGATGGAAATTTGTCGTCAGATTGCTGATCGCGCTGTGCCCGATTGTTCACATCTAGATGATGATGAGCGCACCGAATTCCCCTATTGGAAAACCAAGAAATGGGCGCTGCACATTATGGTGCGCATGTTTGAGCGGTAAGTCCACAGAGTTTTGTTTTATGTAAGACTTCATCATATTCCTTTAATATCCATTAATTTATTTGCAGCTATGGCAGTCCCAGCAGTGTTGTGAGCGAAAAGTATCAAAAATTCGCCGAATGGTATCTACCCACCTTCAGTTCTGGCGTCTTGGAAGTGCTGCTCAAAATCCTGGACCAATATCGCAATCGTGTCTATGTATCGCCGCGTGTTCTTACTGATGTGCTGAACTATCTGAAGATTGCGTAAGTTTGCTAGCACAATAAGCTTATGTTAGTGAAGGCATGCTACAAATGTTTTAAATTTCATTTTCCCTTTTAGTGTGAGCCACGCCTACACCTGGAAGCTGATCAAACCGCACATGGTGGCTGTTATTCAGGATGTCATATTCCCCATCATGTCATTTACCGATTCGGATCAGGAACTATGGGAGAGCGATCCCTATGAATATATTCGCCTCAAATTTGGTATGCCCTTAACCACAGTCCATTCCGTATACAATTTTTTTAATCATCCTCTAAACACTCCGTTCAATAGATATCTTTGAGGATTATGCCACGCCCGTGCCGGCTGCTCAGTCGCTACTGCATTCCGTCTGTAAGAAACGTAAGGGCATTCTGCCTAAGGCGATGGCTACCATTATGCAAATAATTACCTCGCCCAATGCGGATAACAAGCAAAAGGATGGTGCACTTCACATGATTGGCACACTTGCCGATGTCTTGCTGAAGAAGACGTTATATCGCGATCAGGTTGAGTCCATGCTGACTACCTATGTGTTTCCGGAGTTCCAGAATCCGGCCGGTCATATGCGTGCACGTGCCTGTTGGGTTTTGCACTATTTCTGCGATGTCCAAATCAAGAACCCTCAGGTGCTGGCCGAAACAATGCGCCTGACAACCAACGCCTTGCTGACAGATAAAGAGCTGCCCGTTAAGGTGGAGGCCGCCATTGGCCTTCAAATGTTCCTATCATCTCAGGACGAAGCACCGCAATATGTGGAGTCTCAAATCAAAGAGATTACCAAGGAGCTGTTGACCATCATACGCGAAACTGAAAACGAAGACTTGACAAATGTCATGCAGAAGATTGTGTGCACATTTACGGAGCAACTGTTGCCGGTTGCCACGGAAATTTGTCAGCATTTGGCAACAACATTTAGTCAAGTGCTGGAATCGGAGGAGGGATCTGATGAGAAGGCCATTACGGCCATGGGTCTGTTAAATACGATAGAAACACTGCTCAGCGTTATGGAGGAACATCCGGACGTGCTGCTTAATTTGCATCCAATTGTGATTAACGTAGTGGGTCACATATTCCAGCACAACATTACCGGTAAGTTAGGAACTATCAAAATATCTAGGATTGTGGACATTTATTTTTGGTTTTTTCCACAGATTTCTATGAGGAAACCTTCTCGCTTGTCTACGATTTAACGTCCAAGTCAATTTCAGCCGAAATGTGGCAAATGCTTGAGCTCATTTATCAGGTTTTCAAAAAGGATGGTGTCGACTATTTCATTGACATCATGCCGGCGCTGCATAACTATGTTACCGTCGATACGCCGGCCTTCCTTTCCAATCCAAACCGTCTCCTGGCCATCCTGGACATGTGCAAAACTGTAAGCTGGACTAAAGAGGTCCTTGCCGTGTTCAGTCTTATTTTATTTGATTTTCTTTGTGCAGATGCTGACTAGCAATCCTGGAGAGGATCCCGAATGTCATGCTGCCAAATTAATGGAGGTAATTATACTGCAATGCAAGGGTCAAATTGATTCGGTGATACACATGTTTGTGGAGCTGGCTTTGTCGCGTTTGACACGCGAGGTGCAGTCATCCGAGCTGCGCACTATGTGCCTACAGGTGGTCATTGCGGCCCTGTATTACAACCCGCAATTGCTGCTGTCCATTCTGGACAAGATGTCGCAGCCAAACAACGAACCAATCAGCTCGCACTTTATCAAACAATGGCTGCATGATACGGACTGTTTCCTTGGGTACGTTAAACTCCTTACTTACCTTCAACTGTAAACTAATTAATAACTTTATTTAGCATTCATGATCGCAAGCTGTGCGTCTTGGGTCTATGTACTCTAATCTCGCTGGGCGATGCCAAGCCTCAGGTGCTTAGCGAGGTGGCGGGCAAGATTGTGCCATCGCTGATATTGCTGTTCGACGGGCTTAAGCGAGCCTATGAATCGCGTGCACAGGAGGAGGAAGAGGAAGAAGAAGAGGAGGATGGCGATGATTGCGAGGGTAAAGAACAAATTTAAATAACTGAAGTAAACTGAAATGTTACTAACGCATCTATTGCTTCTCCACAGAGGCTCTGTCGAGCGATGAAGATGAAATGGATGAGATGGCGCCAAACTATTTGGACAAACTGGCAGACTACACCAAAACGAAAGGCGCTGCTGCCGGCTTTGAGGTGAAAGCTGAACTCAAGGATGACGAAGAAGATTCGGATGATGAAGCAGAGGAATCGGTTGGCGATTTAAATGAAACTGGCCTTGAAACTTTCACCACGCCCATAGACGAGGAGGAGAACGAGAGCGCCATCGACGAATACTGGACGTTTAAGGAAGTTATTACTGGTAAAATAACCTGAGGTCTATAAACTTATGTTGTTACTAACTTCTATTATTATTTTGTTTTTTAGCACTTTCCGCCCAAGATCAGGCCTGGTACTCGTTGCTAACCTCGAACCTAACGCCCGAACAGGCCAAAGCGCTGCAGGAAGTGGTCGTGACCGCTGATCAGCGCAAGGCGGCCAAAGAATCGAAATTGATTGAGAAGCAGGGCGGATTTGCGTTCCCCCAGACCACCGTGCCCACCTCGTTTAAGTTTGGCTCTTAATTGATGGTGGGACACCAACTTAGTACGCTTTTCTTCTGACTTCATTGTTTCTCAAATTCTTTCCATTACGAAAACAAAAAAGAAAAAACCTAGTGGCTGGAACTTGATATGATGGCTGTTGAGGCAATCTTTAGATTCTCGTACATATTTTATGTACACATATTTACACATACACGTGTTGCATGCATCGACCCAGCGATGGGTGGGGTGATCGCTTTATATTTATTGTAGATTTATATTTTTAAATTCTATCTTGGCAATTCCATGCCAACTAAATTATAATAACTTAAGTTGAAAGTCTATTGTATATCATTGTATGTAACTATAAACGAAAAACTATTTAGAAGTCGTCTCATGAAATGAGATCGAGCCCAGATAAGCATGGATCATACACACTCCAGCGTAAAATGGTCAGAATGAGAATTCAATGTAGAGCATTTCACTTACATTGTCTACACACACACACACACTCGTATATAACGTAATAGACGAAGCGATATTTTTGAAAAATAAAAACATTTTTAACGTTTGAATTAAACTGTTGACCGATGTTTTTATTTGACGGAATTTGAGCTCCCTCTAGAGTACTGGCGATGTCAATTGGTAAAACTTTTGAAGTTGGCTCTCAATTCCAGTGTTGTGCAACGACACATGGCAAGGCTGATTTTACATATAAACAAGATGGTGGCGGTGCACCGATAACATATACCGTTTTTTGCCATTCACGGATTGTGTTGTGTTTATGCTGCATTTGTTTATATTTTAGGAAACTAAACCAAAAAAGGCGCGAATATGAAAATCGCCATCGAAGGCTGTGCCCACGGCGAACTGGAGCGTATATACGAGACTTTACAAGGCATCGAAAAGGAGCGCAACATTAAAGTCGATCTGCTTCTCTGCTGCGGTGACTTTCAATCGACGCGAAATGTTACGGATTTGCAAACAATGGCCGTTCCAAGGAAGTACCTGGACATGTGCACATTCTACAAGTGGGTGGCTGAAACTATGACATATTGAATACTTAATTAAGTCAAAACCATTACAGATATTACAGCGGTGAGCTTGTAGCGCCCATTCTAACGATATTTATTGGTGGGAATCACGAAGCCTCCAACTACTTACAAGAGCTGCCCTACGGTGGTTGGGTAGCACCAAATATTTACTACCTTGGCTACGCGGGCGTGGTCACTGTAAATGGCATCCGTATTGCGGGCATTAGCGGCATTTACAAGGGTCACGACTTTTTGCGCGGCCACCACGAATTCCCGCCGTATACGGAGAAAACATGTCGCAGCGTCTACCATGTCCGCCAGTTAGAGGTGTTTCGCCTGAAGCAACTTTCCGGCGAAGTGGACATATTCATGTCGCACGACTGGCCCAGGGGCATACAAGAATATGGCAACAAGGCGCAACTGCTGCGGTTTAAGCCACATTTTGCAGAAGACATAGAAAGTGGGCAGCTGGGCAGTCGTCCGCTCGAGGAGCTGTTAAAAGCTGTGCAGCCGACATATTGGTTTGCTGCGCATTTGCATTGCAAATTTGCTGCACTTGTGCCGCACAATAGAAACTTTAGAAACAAGCCCCTGGATGCGGATGACTCTAGCAGCAGCAGCAGCAGCGATAGCGAGGGTGAAAATGAGGACAAGGATGGGAGCAGCATACAGCAAGAGCCTGTAGCAATGCCTTTCACCAAGTTCCTGGCTCTAGACAAATGCCTGCCCAAGCGACGCTTCTTGCAGGTGTTGGACATACCCACCAGTGAGAGCACTGAAGGCAAATTAACGCTTGAATACGACGCCGAATGGCTGTCGATATTGCGCACGACGAATCATCTAATTTCGGTGAAGGATACCAATTACTATTTGCCCGGCAAGAAGGCTGGCAGCATTGAGGAGCGTTGTAATTTTACGCCCACCGCCGAGGAGCTATCACATATACGCAGTAAATTCAAAAGCCTCAAAGTGCCTCAAAACTTTTGTCGCACTGTGCCGGCGTTCGATCCCGTCGAGGAGCACAACTACAAGCAAATGCACATTGAGCAGGCAAATGCACAGCTGAATCCACAGTGCGTTGAGTTCTGTACCATCCTGGGCATAGACGATCCGCTTTGCTTGGCCATGCTGGCCAATGGCAAGGATCTTCCACCAACTGGCAGCATACTGGAAAGCTCTGCTGAACCTGAGCTGAAGCATAGCCCAAAGGAAGTGCCTGTAGAGGAGAGCTGCACGTTTCCAGAGCCTTTGGCAACGCCGCCCAAACGTAAACTTAATCTGTCGCTGCCAGCGCCGACTGCAGCAGCAGAGCCGGACAGAAATGTCATTGACCTGCCAGATGAAGTGGACGAAGAGCCGGCGCCTCCTTTAAATGATTCGGACGATTCAAAAATTGAAGAGAGCACTGTAAATATTTCCATTTGTGGTAGTCCCAATCTCAAGAAGCTCAAGAGACGAAATCAAAGCATCTACCAAGCTGAAGATGACGATTGAAAAAAAAAGCATTATCGACCTAATTAAAATAAGTTTTGGCTTTCTCTCGATGTACTTTGTTTGTAGCTAAGTTAATCTTGAGCCAGTGGAGTACTCCGCTGGATGTTTATATTAAAAAAAGAGGCAATTTTATTTAAATAACACAGAAAATGTTTGAAGCTGCCGCTCCTGGCATGCTGTACGTGATGTTGAGTGGAAATAAATTAAGGTTACATATAAATTTAATGGATACTTCACTGTACATCGGTGACATTGGCGCCGTAAAATTCGGTGGCGCACATAAAGACGCACTGCAGCACAGAATCGGGCGTTTGTGTCCAATCACAGTAATAGCTAGCTGGCGAAGGAATGCACTGCAGCTGCAGCTGGTCACCATCCGACTTGGGGCGATAGAAGCGGCAACGGCGAGGACCATATATCGGCATATCGGCATCGTATGGTGGACTTAGTATATCGAAAAAGGCAGCTATGCCGCTTCCGGCATGCGTTATCTGATGATAGTTACGCTTGCGTGGCGTGAGCAATGCGCTTGATGTCTCGGCTGTCACCAGGCTGGGCTCCTCGGCTGTTACCTTCACCAGCGTGGGATTCATGTCATACAATAGCGGCTCATCTGGGGCCAGCTGCTGTGAGTAGCTCTGTACGTGCAATTTGCCCCAGATGCAGCGCAGCAGGCCGTACATCATGGGATGATCGTGCAACGGAATCGAATTGTTGCCGCGCACTATGAACAAGCTCATGGAGAAGCGTTCGTCCTCGAAGATGTGCATGTAGCTGCAGGGTGCACGGGCGGCATTGGTGACATCGTCACGAAACAGCTCCTCCTTGATGTGCAGATCCCGATAGGTTAGCTCATCAGTTAGCTGCTTGAGATGCTGAAGATTGGCATTGAAGCTGGCAAGATTGGCACGATCGAATGTCTTGAATGCCTGGCGCAGCACGCTCATAAAATGGCTTGTCATGGCCAAATTCCGGCGATTTGTTTCGCGTTATCAGTAATGCACCGGACACGACCACCAACTTTAACTGACGTCAGGTGTGTTTTTAATGGCTTATTCGACACGAGCCCTTGTTAGTTGAGCTGCGAAGCAATTGCGGCGACAAAATTTATAGATAAACAAAGCGTCAGCTGTTCGACAGTGTTGGAAAGTGCACAAGCAGCCAGTTGTAAAAACAATTGAAAATCCTTAAATTTTATTTAAAACTTTATTAGTAATTCTCGAGCCGACAGCTTTTTCAAATATGAGTAAAGCCTGCAATTTTTGTGTATTATGTAAGGTATTGATTTCGTACTACGTCAATTGAACCAATTTTTTTTTTAATTCAAGCAAACAGAAATAAGTGGACTAATTACATAGATATAGGTTCTTTTTGAGGAACAAATGCTCATTAAAAGCCCCTTTCCTTGGATTGTGTGGCATGGGTCAAGATCCAGGATTTGTAGTCACGTTTCTTCATTGCCATTTGCTTGTGGCGCGGGTGCGTTGGACAGATGACATAACTGCGCTCCTGACGCACCACGATGTAGCAATCCTTACAGCGGCGCTTGAGACGTCCCTTCACCTTGAATCCTGCCACTTGTTGTACGAGTGAATTGAACGGCACCAGAAAGGATGTTGTATTTGTTGTGGGCACCAATTGCTGAACAATTGTGCTGTGAGCCGGTGTGCTTGTGGTTATGGCCGTGGGACGCATTAGCATATGGAAGCCCCGTGTGGGTGTGACGGCATTCCAAAGCCGCGCGCTGCACTGCAGTAATTTACTTGCAAATGACATCTGTGAAGTGATTTTTAATTTATATTTCCCAATAATTACACAAACACGCACCTTTTACCACATTAGGGTTGCCAGAGTTTGAAACAGAATTGTTGGCCGCGTTGCCAACCATTCACAATTTACGAACGGATAAATTGAACTAGTTCACATTAAATAAAATATGTGATTTTTCAAATAATTGAGACACGCACGATAACTTGTTAGATAATTAGATGGGGAAGGTGCTTACGTTGGAATTCATATATATATATATTTTGCATATTAATTCGCTTTGTATTATTTCTATTTAAAATTGGTCTAACCTGTAAAAATAATAATGGAAATTATAACCGTTCTTTGTTGAAAATCGTTAAATATAAGTTTGAACATAATATTCGTTGATTACATTAAATGCGCGTACGAATAAATTGAAGTTTCTTTAACAAAATGACAACAATCAAAAATAATACAAAACAAATCAAAATAACTGACAAATACACTTCACTAATGCTTCACTTCCGTTGTTAATTCATTAACAAATCCCATGCATCATCCTCGGCGCTCGTTTTGCCGCTCGACGAGGCAGCGGGTTTGGGTTTCACATTTTTCACATCCAGATTGTCAAAACCTTCGCTCAACTTCTGTGAAGTCTCCTGCATCTTCATACTGCGGCGAACGCTTTGACCACCAGACGGTGTATTTTGATACGATGTCTCCGCATTCTGATAACTTGTTGTATTGAATCCAGCCCAATCGTCGTCTTGGGTCAGCCCGGCACTGGTTTTGCCGATGGCATTGCTGTTAAGCTGATTTTGATATGAGCTGGAGCTGGTCAGATGCGTTTTGTTGTTAGCATTCTCCTGCCAGCCACCCCAGTCACTGTCGCTAACGCCGCTCTGCTGGCCCAAACCGCCGGCCAGGTTGCCACCAACCGATTGGGAGCGTTGATAGCCGCTGTCCTCGAGACTGGGATCGTTGTAGCCGCTCTGAGACGATGTGTTGGTGCCACCTGCCAAATTACTCCAGCCACGCTTGCCAATATCCGTCACCTTGGGGTTCAAATAGACACAAAAGAGAATTCAGCAACCAGTTTTTCTAACATTCCGAAAATAAGTCTCTGCATGTGATTACCGACCTTATAGGCCACATCTGTTACCCCACTCTGAACGGTTTCTAGCAGGGTGCCTTCTTTAATCTACAACCAAAACGAAAAGCAAACGAAAACTCAAACAAAATTATACAAAACAAAATAAGAACAGCAACAAAACAAAGAAAGCCCAGCTGATTTTTCTATATCAACACACCTTGGTCGAAGCCAAATTGACTGTAGTTACGGCTTTTTCCTTGGCAGTGCTTGCCAATTTGGAAGCATTTGAAGAGAACAGGCTCCAGCCCGATGCCAATGTGGTCAGCGTGGAGTCTATCAGCTCCTGAGATTGTGTTTTCGGTGGTGGTTCCCGTGTAAACCCAAATCCGGCATATTTGCCGCCCTGATTCGGTGGCAAGTTTCTGTGAATGTTAGGCCAAGTTTATAACGCATCAGTCATATGAAAAGTGCACAAATAATATACTCTGGACGCGAAGCGTTCTCCATTTGGCGACGGCTAAAGAACTCTTCCTTCTGATCTTTGAACTCCTGTGTCTGGAACTGCTGGTAGCCGCCAGTCTCGTTATAGGCGCCACCTCCATTCTGATAGCCCCCAACGGTGCCGCTGCCACCATAACCTGTTGCGTTAGTGCGGGTCTGCGTAGTGCTACTAGAGCTGGAGGCATAGCTGCTGGAGCTATACGAATTGTTGCTATTCAAGCGCGCTTCGGCGTCCTTTTGATTCCAGCTTTTGCCCTGAGCCAGCGTTGATATCTTGTCGCGATACAAAGCTGCTGCTTTGGAATTGTATCTTTGCGTTATGGGTGCACGCTCGTTCCAATCCTCCTGATCTTCTAGAAATTCACGAGCATTGCGATTACCGCCGACTTTCATCTTCTCCAGCTCAATGTCCTTCCATTTATCCATAGTTACAGAGCGCACAAACGACAGGTGAACGCCCAGGCTGCGGTGCTTGCCAGAACACTCCAAACATATCCAAATGCCGTAGGTAACGGAGACCCACTGTGGATTGTGGGTGCCACACTCGAAACATTTCTATGAATCAATTTTGAAACAGTAAGGACACGTATTTGCCCAAGTTTTTTCTTAATGTCTACTCTATGCTGTTTTACACACATGTGTGTGTGCCTTAACCTTACCGAATTCTCGTCCTGAGGTTTCAGCTCTTGCAGCACGCGACGTGTTCTGGGACTAGCCATGGCGACAATTAAGAACCGTCTTTAAACTGATTTTCACACTGCGCTGCCTTCACAGTTGATATCAAACTTTTTGCTGACGTTGGCGTTGGTTGCAATTGTTGAATTATGAAAATGCGACATTCATGTAAATTGCAACAACGGGGGCTAATGCTGATTTGTTGCACTTAAATTAACACATTTAATGAATTTGTGCATTTGTTTCCTCAATCCTAACTGCAGTCATAAAAGTTAATTGCCAAAAAAAAAAAACTGTTTAACACAGAGTTCCACTTGGAATGCTTGTAGTAAGTGTGACCGTGCCAAGAAATACACTGATTGCGCCGAAATGAACAAATTACGGCTTTTTTTTAATACCAGCAATGGGTGGACCAATTTAAAACTGACTACAATTTAATTGAAATAATTAAATTTATATTGCTTATAATATCAATATATATAATAATTAAAAGTATTAAGCTCTGTTGACGTGTTAAATTTGTGAATAAAAAAAAATTTAGCATAGACCAAAACTAATACCAAAATACCAACTACAAAAGCATTCGGTCGCACCGCTTTTAAACAAGTTCGCATTTCAGTTAGGATGCTCATCAGTGCTGCCAGTCAAAATATTTTCTATATAACATTAGCCTTTTTCATAGGTAGTCAGCCGAAAACCTTAGAAATTTTATACTAAAGTAGCTGTTTACTAATATTGCAATAAGAAGTGCACGCCCCATATATAGCAATATTAGCTCAGAAATCTTACTTATCTATTTTATATGTGTATATAATTCGATTCAGCTGGTTTGTTGAAATTACGGTTGGCAGCACTGGTGTTCACTTGTCGATGCAACGACGCACATTTGCAAGCATGCTGCAATTGCAACTCCACACAATCAGCTGTTGTTGTTTACATTTTACTCGCTTAATTACATATTTGCTAATTGGAGAAATATGCCAGTTAAGAGCTTTAAACTACTTTTAACTTAAATTGTAAAGAAAAAAAGAATCCACCAAACCTCAATTAAATTATCTAACATTTATCATTTCTTTTAACATCTCTAGCTTTGCAGCTTTGCACCACTTTTCGTTGTCAAGGGTCTGGGGTCTAACAGCGTTGCAATAAATTGTTCAGGGCAAGTTATTGTTGCAAGCTATTGCACTTTTTCAAAGTTGCAACGCCAAATTGGCACCTATTTTGCTACATTTTACATACATTAGTGCTTAGCCTAAGGCAGCGGCTGTTTAATGGCATCAACAAGCAAAAGTAGGTTAAATAGTTATTGTTTTATAAAATAAACCGGTTTTTATTTAATTCACTGCAGTGGATGATAAATTGAGTACGAAACGCAAACGAAAGACTGAGCCAAAGAAGTGGTCCGAAAGGGAAGTCAATGATATTTTGAATTATATGCGAGTGCACAGAAATATTGAGGTTAGAAATGGCGCGCATTTGAAGTTCTATTGACAATAAAAAGTTTATGACATAGAAACCAACTGCCCAAATCTACTATAGAAAACTGATAGACGAAAGCAAGTTAGACGCGACCTGGAACTTGGTTCGTTTCAAAGTAAAGGGCGGCTGGCAAAAGGCAGATGCGCACAGAAAGTCCATTATGGCTGGAGAGGAGGATGGCGACGAGATCGATGATACAACCTTACGAGGTATAATTACAGATTGCAAAAGTGAGACAATGAATGCATTAACTAATTTAATTTAATTTACAGCAAAATTGGTAAGGTTGTGCCCCCACTACGAAAAACTGAGTGACATTTTTTCGGTCCGCAAGGAAATGGAGGTGGTTGGGCGTGAGTCTCTGGAATCTCGGAGCAGTCTAGACATGTTGCATTGCGAGGACGAGTCGACAACCGAACCCCTGTTCACATCTGGGATCGAAGACTTATCGCAGGTGGCATCAATGGATGCAAACAGAAGGAAGTTTCAAGAAGATCGCCTTTGGGTTGAGAGGGAGACTCTCAAATTGCAACAGGAACAGTTTTTGTGGGCCAAAGAAGTGGAGGAACGCAAGATGAGATTAGAGGAACAGCAGTTTAAGTTGGAGGAACGCCGAATTGCATTGGAAGAGCAGCGACGAGAAGCTGATTTCCAGCTAAAACAGCTAGAACTTGAACTTAAATATTTTTTTTCCTTAAAGGCTTTTCATTGAGGATTTTAAAAAATAAAAATTAAAATAATATTATTAAATAGAATATTTAGGTACACTATTAATACATGTACACTATATACTTCTTTTGAAAAACTATTTGATTTGTGTAAATGCTCTTCCAGATTTCCAGTTACCATATCCAAGGATTTCTTTATGGACAGGCCTTATGGTTCTGGTTATATGAAAAAATCAATTATATATATATATCCATACTGTAGTTGAAATCAATTTGAAACTGGATCAAGTTTTGCATACCTTTTCTCTGAGTACTCGAACAAATTTAATTAATTATTGTTGAATTTTGGTATTCGTAAAGGTTGTGTTATCGATGAGGCGTCTTACAAATTATAACTAATCATGCTGATCTGATTTTCATATTAATTTCATTCATGTTCTTCCGACCAATTCGGCAGCGTCATGCCGAAAGTTAATAAAAACAGAGATTTATCACACTCCTAACAGTAATCAACAACAATCCCACTGTCGGCCGCTGGAAGACAAGACTGTGGAATTACCTGAGCGATTCCCAAACAAAGGGGCCGCGTGTGGTCCCGGAGTTGGAATCCCAGCGGCTGTGGCGCCGGGAGCGGCAATTTCCTTCGGCATTAGACACAGATACTTAGAGCAGAGGGAGTGGGGGAGAGATGCTCACATACCAATGTACATATGTACACACATGTATGCAGGAGCATGTGGAGGGCAATAATTCAATGTGAACATTAGCATATAATTATGCACAATATTTTTGCAATTCACAGAGATGGGAATCTGTGGGGCAGCAAGTGGAGCCGCGCCCAAGCAATCGATGGCTGCACTGGCCAACGTTAATTTCTTTTCAATTTTCAAACTCGCGCATTTATTTAAGTCAGCGCATTGCTATAATTTGCGTCACAATGTCGCACGCCCTCCTGTTCCCGGCGCAAACGATGCACGATGGGCGTGGCTGTGGCCGCGGCCGTGGCTCCGGCTGCGCGTATAATTGGGCAGGCAAACCAAAGGATGTGTTGAATTGAAATGCCTGCCGGGTAATCCGATCGACCGACCACCGTCCGCCGCTGAGTTATGACGCATGCCCGCTAAGTGAGCCCGGCTCTTGGCCAGCTCTTGGCCTCGGCTCGCTGGGCACTCGACGCTTTCAACAACTACTGCTGCTGCAGTGTTGCCTGGTGGTGGTCTTATCAGAAGCCGTTGCGCACTGACCGAGCTGCCAAAAATGGCATTGCTGCGCATCCATTATCCGCGCTCTGTCACTGTGCGTCTGGTGTGTATGGTGGTGCCCACCACCAGCGCCACTGGGCATTTTGCACCCAGCTAAGAGTTATAGTGTGGATATGATCAAATTATAGGCTTAGCATTGCATTAAATTCGCATAGACATCCGATGGAGGCTCTGTGCCCGGCTGGTTAACTGGCCTGGCTGAGCATGTGCGGCGCATGTTGCGTTGCGTTGAGTCGAATCGAGTCGAGTCGAGTCTGGCATCCGGTCAAATTGGAATCCATACTTCATTCCGGAACACTGCTAATCAGCAGCTGTCGCTATGTTCCATGCAACCATCTATAGAACACGCATACACACACACGCACACACGCACACACACACACACACACACAGCGTGGAGCAATACGAATGGTATGTAAATGAGGTGCGTCCAGTTCGCACGCTGCTGCCACAAAGTCTGCGCAGGCGCAGTGTGATCTTCCGAAAATAAAAAAAAAATAAATAAAATAAAACACATGCAAATAAAATAAAATCGTTGAAAATTGCACCAATTAAGTGGCCAATGTGTTCCTCGAGGATGCGAGGGGTGGTGTTGGGGAGTGCGGATCCTGGGGGCATTGCTTCGCATTTATCAGCGATATTAAAGCGTTAAGTGAATTACTTATTCTCTATAGGCCGCTGCAAAGCAAAGCCAATGCGTTACCTTTCATGTCTACCTGTCCCGGGCGATTCCGTGTCGCTTCTCGTTGCTCCACTCCGCTTCGCTCCGCTCCCCTCTGCTCTGCATCGTGCTAAAGTATAAATGTGTGCGATAGCCGCGATGTTGCATGCGACAATTATATGCGCTGAGCGACGCCAGTTTGGCTCCCGCTTCCCATGGCCAATACGGGCGTAGATGGGGGCATTTGAAGCTGCCGCAGACTCGAGCCTGATATTTACACTTACAGCACAGTCACAGGGACAGGGACAGGGACAGCCACAGGGACAGGTACAGGCACAGGCAGCTACCATTTCCATTTTCATTGCCGCCTTTGCCGATCGTTGCTGATCGATTTTCAATCGATCGCCAGCATCATGCAACCGCGCACAGCCCCAGCCTCTGGTCTGTGGAACTCAGACGCAGACGACGATTCAGCGTCAGCTCCTTAGTTCAACAAATCGTGCCAAATAACACAACATAATGACAACAAAGCCGACGACAGGAGCAAAGACGACGTCCTCCACTTGTCTGGTTAGCTGGCTCTGCAACTGCGATTGGCACTGCGACTGGGACTGGGACTGCGACCAAGACTGAGACAGTCGGTGATTGCCATTTCAAGATTTTGCCACTCATACATACACATAAACACGGAGACACACACACACACACACACACACACATACACCAGCCAAGTGTGGGGATCGCAAAAATTAAGAGATATTTATAATAAGCACGAAAACCACTTAATACTAACGCCTTTGGCAATTAAGAGCCACAGCTATGGCAGGGACGCTGCTAACAGAGACATTCCAATGTTCGACAGCCCAGTTGGGTTACTTTCCATGCTAACACACCGAACAACACACACACACACACACACACACACACACACACACACACAGATTCTTTCCAGATGGATATCTGTGCTTTGATGACATGCTCATTGGTGACGTCTTCGCTGACATGTCATGAGCTTACATTACGACTTCGGTGACATGTCATCGGTTGTGTCTAGTCTAATGACATACTCGATGACATGTCATCAGTCTCGTCTTGTAGCATAGTTAAACCGGTACGAGAACGGAATTAATACTAACTTAATCGAAACTCAAACCGAAATAATTACTTCTAAGGGACACCCCGCTCCAAAGCCCCAATTTAGCCCGCATATTGTGTATGAAAATACTTAGGCTTGCAATATTTTCAGCACAACGGGCAATTCAACAGTGAATATTTAATTTGCTTAACGTTTTGGAGATATATGAACCAAAATCTCGATTGAAGGATGTAAAAAAACCCAACCTAAAGGTCGGAAATCGCTTTGAGCCGTGAACAGAAACTCCATTATAGAAATAATATGTATTGTACAACGAAATTGAAAAGGAAAAGCTCAAAGATACCTTTGTGGACATGTCTTGCAGCGTGTCCTGCAAGACGAGTCGCATGACAGGCCCCCAGAAATTTGCGATGTTAGAGGCTACCGTGTAAATGAACATTCCTGTAAAACATTCCCATGTCTTACTATTTTTTACTGATATGATTTCGCTGGTGTTGCGGCTCCAACTAGCCCATGTCAGCAGCCACTGTAGTCGCACCCTTTGTAGTTGAAACTTTACAGAAATGAATATGTAGATTTTGTGTACTTGGAAGCACAATGCTTTTCAGCGACTCATCAAAAGCCGCAGGTATGTAAATTTCATGGGTTTAATTGTTTTCATTCTCTGCAGAGGTTTCTTTCTTTCATTTCTTTCACGGCGGACTTGACGCCTTCGGTGGCTCATTACAATCAATAATAGCAGCTGGCGCTGGGGTTCAATTGATTCTTTCAATATCGACGCAGTCGGACAGTAAATGAAATAAAGTGAAATGAATAACTGTTTCGAGTTGCCCAAGCCTGAGCTGAAGCTGGAGCTGAAGCCGGAGCCAGAGGCAGAGTTGCCAAGCCAGAGCTGTGGCTCGCTTAAGCGAACGATTATACAAGTGGTTTTCTGATTTGACAGGCGTTAAATTAAAATTTAATTCGGCCATCTATATAATTATAGTGATCCATCCGAGCATACACATTGACGACGACAACGAGGACGCTGACGTCGACGACTTCTCAGCGCATGTAATTAAAGCCACATTAATCATCCAGGCCCAGGCCCAGGCCCTGGCCAAGGCCCAGGCCCAGGCCCAAGACCGAGCACACTCGCAGCCACTTGAGCCTGACTCTGAGCCTCTGTATTTGTGTTTGTATTCGTATCTGTGGCTCTTCGTCTTGGTAGCCACAAAATTGTCAGATTTGTCCACTTGAGTTATTTTTGAATGCGCGTCGAGCAGCCGCTCTTCTCCCGCATCGATGGGTGTCAACTCCGCTGAATTCCCGACCAATTATACGAAACCCGTGAGAATTTGTCGAATTCTTACATGTATTGTCCTATATATGCATATATACATATGTATACATATATCGATTCCGTCTTTATTTGTACTCAGCACGTGTTTTGAATGCAAACTGAATAAATTAAGTTAAAAAATTGCACTAAATTCTCGATTTAAAGCGATAGGAAACTGACAAATCCACAAACTTGCATCATATTTTTTCTTTTTGATTTTTTTTTTTTTGTTTAGATATTTTCTAGTTTGGATTAGAATCTAGTTCTGGAAATACAGCATATTGATTGCACTGTTTAATTAGCCTCCGACTCCGTTTCCGTCTCCGCATCCACATTGATCTCCTCATCGAGCTCCGATCGGGGCTCCTTCTGCGGCGCCGCCATATGCCGCCAGAGGTACTGACGAGCAAAGTTGAGGGCGAAGGCGGCCGCCGATGCGGAGGCGGATGCGGATGCGGAAGCGGCGGGCAGGGCGGCACGAAAGGCGCTATGCTCACCGCCCATTAATAATGGAACTGATGCTGTGAGTGAGGCAGGCGGCGGCGCTGTTGCTGTCGCTGGATCGCGGCCTGGGGCCGTAGGGCTTATGCTGGTGCTGATGGGGGTGGACATGTTGCCCTCGCCCGCCAGGGCCGTGTGGTAGACGCTGGAACGGGTAGCATACTGCAGACTGGAGATTGCTGCTGCAGCCGTGCTCTGCTCCTGCTGCTGTGGACCCAAGGCAGCCGCGGGCTGCGGCGATGTCGAGGCCGAGTCGCGCTGCTTCAGCTGATTGACCCGTTGATGGCGCCGCCATTTCGCTCGTCTGTTGGAAAACCAAACCTAATTGATCAATCGATGGAGAGACAATTTGTTAGTTGATAAAAAAAAAAGAAACGAGCGTCTGTGTGTCCAGGTCGGCGTCGGCGTGTGTGGTTAGTAGGCAACAATCAGGGGCTAGGAGCACAGTCCATTGTACACGGGTAACTTATGGGGGCAACTCACCTGCACCCGCGCCTCACTCAGCGCCGTGCGCGCCGCTAGCTTCTCGCGCGTGCCCACGCAGGGATAGTGCGACTTCTCGAACTCCTTCTCCAGCTCATCGAGCTGCTCGGCACTGAACGTTGTGCGATTACGCCGAAACTTGGGCTGATCACTGTCCTCCGAATCGCTGCCCTCGCCCTCAATATCTGCAGCAGATCATTGTTGAGGATCAGATCCGGATTTATGTATAGCTGCTCACTCACCTATCATGCGATTGGCATCCACATCCGGCGATCGACTGTCCCGGCTGCCCGACTCCGGTGACAGTGCCGGCAGGGATAAGCGTCCACTGCCCGCACTGCTGCCGCCGCCGGCGCTGGTGCTGTTGTTGTTGGTATTCGGATTAGAGCTGCCATCGCTGTTGTAGCTGCTGCTGCCGGGCAAAGCGCTGCTGGCGGGCAGCGGCACAGCGCCCCAAAGCGGATGGTGGCCCGGCAACGTGGCCGGCCAGGTGGGAAAGCTCGTATAGGGATGTGGATGCGGATGCGTTGGATGTAAAGCATAGCCATAGCTGGCGGCGCGCGCAAACTCCGCTGCGGCACGCTCGGCGGCGCGGTTGCGCAGGATGCGATTGATGCTGCTCACCGAGGGGGCAGTGGCATTCGTGCAGACACCTGGGGGCAAGACGGGCACAACTATTACGAACGGATACTGGCGCCGGATGCAGTGCGTCGTGACCTGCTCATGAACCCAAATGCCGACTGACGCAAATTAGATTGACTGTAATGAGCAGACCAGTTGCGATTGGCATCTACATACGACCACAGTCGCAGTCAGAGCCCCACGAGCATGGTCTTTGTGTGTGTCCGAACGTCTCATGTGAGCGATGGCAATCGGACTATTCATCGCACAGCGCAATTGACTGGCGCAGCGCTGGAGGCAATCAGGCAACCGGGAAACCAGCCGGGCAACCAGCCGGGCATCCACCGGTGAGTGACACAAATGTGAGCACATTTACATATCAATCGACTAGCCCAGGAGCGGATGTTCATAAATTAGCCAATCGATAAATCTCCCACAGAGCCGAAACAATTCTTACAACATTAAATGAGGAGCTGGGAGACCGCGCGCAAACACACAGAAAGGAACGCAGCAGCTCCTCTTTGGCCTGGATCAATTCGCTGGCTAATTCGTATTACGAGTACGAGTACTGACAACCGCACCATAAACACATCAAGCTGATGCTGTCAGCTGCTCAAGTAGCTGCTTCTCAAAAGCTGCAACGCGTAACCCTATGCCCGCCCAGACGCACAGCGCCGGACAGGACCATTCATTGATGGTCGACTCTTGACTCTGGCCCGGCGCTTGTCAATGGCTTTGTGCAATTTCGCTTTTGGGGGGTTCCCATCAGTTCTTATTTTAATTAGCTCAACTGTCGCGCTCTGTTCGGCTCTGCGTCCCTTTCCTTCTCTTCCCTTCCATTCCCTTTCCTGTCCCTTTACCTTGCCAAATGGCATCTGTTTGTTGTTCGCATTGTTCACAAATGGCACTCACCTTCGCTAATCAGTCTCTCGCGTATTTCCCACGCGAATATCGTTGGATTTTCGCGTTTGTACTGCTCGATCTTGGAGACAACTGTCGGCGTGGCCACCTTCGGTTTTGAGCCGCCAATAAGCCCGGGCGGGCGCAGTGTGCCTGCAAAGATGTAGAACTTAAAGATGAGCGATTGACCAGGCTTAACTCTGGCTTTTTATGTTAATATGCAAAATGTTGACCTCTGCTGCTGCTGCTGCTGCCCTGCGGCAACTCGCATAATTTTCGCATTATCAAACGCTGCTCCCGACTGGGCAACCGTCTGGCTCGTGTGGGCGTCGGAACCAGTCTCCAAGCCCGCCGGTCACATTGTGTTGACAGCCGCTGCGAACTACCTGCTGCGGCTGCCAACTGACTAACTAGACAATTGAAGGCGCGTTCCGCCATTCAATGGCGCGCTAATTTGAATATTCGGCAACGACACAATTGTACAACTCGCACAACAACAACAACAAAAGCAACAACAGCAACAACAACAATGCCAGTTTCAGCGCAGCTTCTCGTTGATAATTTGTCGGAAGCGAGTGACAGGCGCGCGCTGTTTATCTTGTGAATTAGGCGTTAGAAATCAGGGGTTACACTTAGAGAAAACCGCACTCAATATTGCCACTTAGAAGGTATAGAAATATTTTTAATTGCAATAAATATTATTCACAATAATCAAGAATGCAGTTTCATTTTCAATCAGAAACAATACTAATTAGAACTTTTCGGCTGATCAATTATTATATGGTTGACCATAAAAAACTCAATTTTAATCCCACTGTCTCTCAGCTACAGTAATTTATCCAAGTGGATCTGAATTGATTCAAATGGATCTGCATGATTAAGTATTTAGAAGTTTATAGGATTTTGCTTATATAAGAAAGTCTATATCTGAGAGTCTAGCCAAGATATCTTGAAGAACAAACCAGTTTTTCATGCAAGAACCTAACATTTAACCGATAGTTCCTAAGTCAGTTACATATGTGACTATTCCTCAGCTACATGATTTGATTGACCCGATTTTTAGTGATTGTGCGTATTGGAAAAACTCGTTCATATGTTAAGAGCTCTTTTGGCAACTTATATTGAAGGCAACATTTTCAGCAGGAGCTTGAAATGAGGAAATATAATAGCACATAGCATTTTTTTTATATGTTCGTTAGTTTTACACTTGTTGAGATCACTTAAGTTTTCTGATAGAATGGATAGAATGGTAAACTCACATTTCACTTTTATTTCTCTCAGTGTAGCTGACAATTGCATGAATACTACACATTGATTGACTATACATTGTCATAGTAGCCCAGGTTTGCTTTAATATATGTATCTACACTTATGCAAATTAGAGTTTAGAAAAAAAAAAACGGAAACTATTTACACACTTACACAGTTTAAATTAACTAGCGACAAAACCCTCCGCCTGCAACCTGCCTTTACGTTAATTTAAATACTGTGAATGAATTATTGCTCCACCGACTGCGCACAGATCGGATAATTTGTGAGTATTATTCAAAGATAGCCCCGTGAATGGTTGCAATGAGCGAACTGAGCAATGCGACTATTTACTCGTGTGCAAATCAAGGTAGCACAAAATGCATCGGTTGGAGCAGCATATATATATATATATGTATGTTTATTAACGATTAGATTTACTTTAAAATGCCTTCTCCTCAAAATAGATGGTAAAAATGGTAAAACAATCAAAGATGCTTACACTATGTTGCAGATATCGAAAGTAGATCAGAGGAAAAAAAAGAGCCAAGGCTGCAAGCCGTGATCATCACTGGTATTCCAATTTGTTTCTTACTATGACCCAAGCCACGTTGATTAAGAGACAGACGAAGCAGAATAAGCAATCATTGTTTAAAAATAAACAACTTGAGGGAGACCCAGCTACTAAATTTGGCTTATTGGATTAATTTAAACACATTTTATATGGATTTTGAGTAAAGATCAGATTAAGCCTAGCTAATAATAGCTTTAGCTTAGCTATAAAATTTGACAATTTAATAACAAGCTTCAATATATATGATAAATAAAGGGTTAAGCCCAGGCCAGAAATGTGAGAAGTCAGCTTAGCAACTGTGATTCGAACTACCGACTGCTTTTTTGGCTTCAATCTTTAAGGTATTCATATTAGAATTAAGGAAGACTTTTTCTGAGTGTAGTCTGTAAATCTGTGTCCTTGGTCGATAAGCTGTCTTAAAGATTTTGGCAGGTTCGATGAAAAGGTTAAATTGATAGCTGGCAAATACATGCTCTACTTAAAACAACAATAATAAGAGCTGTATCTGGAACTTAAAACAAAAGAAAACTCTTTGAAATTTAGAAAATATTGACAACAAACTATGCCAAGGACATTGCATTACAGATGTCCGACTTGGAATCTGGCAGTCGAATTGGCCCATGTCATACAAATATAATCCATCCAAAAGCAAAGCTAACCTCCCGCTCGAGTGCCCCCTTGGAATTTGTTTAGCTTGTCGCGGGCGGCGCGCAGAATTGCAATTTAGAGCGAAAAAACTGGCAACAGGTGTGCGGCGGCTGCGGCGACGACGACGGCGGCGGCGGCCTCTATTGAGCATGCTTTGGCTATTGACCAGGTGTCAGAATTGGGCATGGTAAGGTGCAATCGATTTGTCGTGTATACGTGGCCCACTCGTGGTCTGGGGAGTCACAGTTGTCCAAATCGATTACGGACGCTTCGGCTCCTAATTTAGCGGGACACATTTGGCAATTGCATTTGGAGCACGTGTGCTTTTTGGTTCGGTTCCGCGTTATGCAGACGCTGGAGCTGATTGCATTGGTCAGGCTGGACTTGCACCCCTACAGACCACAGACTACCCCCCCCCAAAAACTGTACCAATAGAGAAATGACTTACCCAGCAGTTTGGATACTGCGCCCTGTTGGGACAGCATATGTTGGGCCAGATCGTAGCCGCGCAGGCCAAAGCGCGACAGTTCCAGTAGCCGATGCTGGGAGGCCAGAGCGCTGAGATTTGTGGCCGCCGCCGTCGTCGCGTTGCCCTGAGGGGCCAAGAGGGCCAACGTGGGAGCTGGTGGTGAGCCGGCGGCTAGCATCGATGTGGACGGGCAGTGGCTGTGCGTAAGCGCTGTAAAGGAGTGACAGAGATAGACTTAATGAGAGAGCGAGAGGGGGCGAGGGAAAAAGAGTGCGCAAAATCATTAAATGTCAATTGGAATTTAAACGAAGCTGCTGCCAGAATTCCGCGCATGGCAGCCAAACACCAAGAAATTTGTAGCCCAGAGTGTATGGGCATGGTTGGGGGCGACGGGGAGTACGGGGGCCAACAATGATTGGACAAATTTCGGTCTGTTTTTGATCGAACACGTCAAAGACGAAAGCGAAGACACAATACACACAGTCCCGGCCACAATGTGACGAGTGCTACAAGCCCGTTCCCCTGTCCATTCCCCTGTCCGTACCCCTGCCCGCTGGCGGAAGTGTCAACGTTTATGGTCATAATGGCGTGTCAAGTGGACGTGGTGTGGTCCATTACCGTCTCCTTCATGAATCAGTTTTGTATGGCAAACGATTGCCGGACTGCCAACAGCTAATTTGAGCTGGAATTTATGAAATTCCTGATGTCTCCGCGCTGGCAATTTGTTGGGGATCGGATCGACTTGGCTTCGAGGCTGGCGGTTGGGTATCTCGTTTGTCGTTTGTCGTTTGTCTTGGCACCGATTAGCAATTCCTCAGATGTAGAAGCTTTTATGTTCATTTTGACATTTTATCTGATCGCGAGAACTGCACACATTTTAACACCTCTTTTTTTTTTTTGGTATTTCTCTTTTTTTTTTTGTTGTTGCTTTTGTTTTCCTTGTGGCTGCGTGTGTGGCAGCCAGGTTGCAGATGCTTTGGTATGCCCAACGCTGACCTCGACGACCCTCAGCTACGCTGCGAGCTGTGCTAATTAAAGCTGTTGCCTGATCTGCTTGCGGCCAAGTAGCGCATCGGGTGGGGTAGTCAACAATTTGTTGCAGCCGCATGTTGCGCCAATTGTTGTGGTCGCGGTTATGGTTATGGTTATGCCTGATTTATGCTGCGCTCCAAACAATTGACGACCAGCCCAATCACCAGGCCCGGCCAGGCCAGGCGAGGCCAGGCTGCAGCACACACAGAGTACACGCTGCCTGCGCTTATGCCACGGATGTCAACGCGACAGTGCCACAAAATGCGTACCAAGTCGGTGGCAGTGGCAGCGGCTGAGACCCAACTTCGAGCTGGATACACCCGATGATTTACTACTGATCTTAGCGGCAATGCGACAGCTACGGCTGCCTCGACGCACCTCAGTCAATTGCAGAATCGGCTTAAAATCGCACGACTTGGCGCAGCCCATACTGTCCGTTCCGTCCAGCCCGGCCGCACTCGCACATCAGCGTGCAACTTTTAACAAGAAGCGACGCCGCATTCAAGAGAGACAGAACGAATGAGAGAGAGAGATATATATAGAGAGAGCGAGCGAGAGAGAGCACAAGTGATGATCGCCTCGGAATTCAATTGATAGTTTGATTTATTGCTACCGGTAAAGTTTTTGCCGCTGCTGCGCTGCCAGGCACTGCATATAAATTAAAGTTGCCCGCTTTTTCACTAAGCGCTCTGGCCCCAGCCTGGAGATGTCCCCTCCCTCTCTCTCACGCTCTGTCGCTCTTTCGCTGCTCCAAGCTCCTCTAGAAGACCATCCCGTCCCGCCTTGTGGCCAGTTGCTGCTCGCTGATCTTGTTTGTCGCGCGCAGCACATTACTCGTTGGGGCTTCTGGTTTTTAATACGTAATATTGTGATCTTCGCACGTTTAGCTCGCCTAGAGAGCTGCTCGACTTGCAAGAAGAGTTGCCAGCCAGTTGCCAGCTAGTTGCCTTAATTAAACCAAAAGGATGACCATTCGATCGAATCATACATTCCTATGCACATATTATCAAAGTATTAAAGGCTAACGTGGCATTCCTGGAGCATTAAGTCCAAAGTTCTATTGCTTCAATATTACAATCAAGGCATGTGCCTGGTAAGGCTCATTGTAAATTACTTTTATGTATGTGTGTATGACAATTCGCTCGAATTATTTTCGAGCCTGGTAATGTCCATATGTAGGTGTGCACATTTTCAATGCGTTATATTGTCATGTTCCCACGTTTATCACGTGTCAAGAGCTGCTCGATTTGCAGTGAGAGTTGCCTATCTTATATACCTAGTTAAGTATTATCAACATATTCAGCATTCCTGGTGTATTAAATCCAAAATTCAATTTGATAAGAATAACAAGTATTTCAATAATGCAAGCAATATATGCGCCTGGTAAAGTTCATTGTAAACTACTTATATGTAGGTGAGCACATTTTTGCAAGACAATATGGCTGCGTTATACTCTTATTTGTTTATCGTTTGGATATCTTTAACCCGTAAAATTGGTAAACAAAGGTTTATGAATGAAGGTTTATGTAGCGGACGTGTTTCGCAGAAAGAGGCTTTGGATCTTGCTGAGCAGTCACAAGTAGGTCGATCGAGCACATGTCCATCAGCTCTGTTGATTTACTTAATTACTTCCGCGTTGAAAACTAAGAGCCACATCATTTGATATGGAGTATATGAATACTTAATAAGTATATTAAAACTTGCAGACTTTACCTACTACCTCCGAAATATTATAAAATCTAGGTTTTCACTATAGATACAGCCTAATATATATGAGATACCTATTTTTGGGGTTTGCTATTTCAATTCGGATCTTAAGAATATATCCACGTGTCATAGAGGGTATTCTCATGTATTTCTTAACGATATTTCGATTGATGTCTATAACAGGGTAACCCTTACGAAGCGGAAGGGTTGGCCCAACTAATTTCCGGTCAAGTGACTTATGCTTGTGGCACAAACTGAAAGTCGGGTGACATAAGTGGCATAAACATCGTGAGCAACTACATATGGACACAAATGAGGGCCAACATGTGATGAGCATCGGCCGAGCTGAGGAGGCTATGGCTATGTACACTTGAAAATCATTGTGCACACCTTTTATACGCTCGGCTTTCTAAGAATAATGCGAATACACGCATCAAGTAACCCGAAACCCTTAAGTATGGTTTCTGCCCAGTGCTTAAACATCAATGTATGCCATGTACCCATACCCGGGTCGGTCTCGCATGGTATACGTGTGTGTGTGCGTGTGTGTGTGTGTGTGTGTTGAGTGTGTGTCTTTGCTGGTTTAGCGTCTCTCTGCGCTCTTTTTATAATTATTTATTTATTGTGCAACTTCCAACACCTTTTAGAGACAAGTCAAAGCTTTGGCCCGTTGTCTCGCCCGCTGCAGCAACCGCATTTGCTGTCTCACCCCCTCCCCCTCCCCCTCCTACTAGCCCGCTGCTGCCGTCGTGGCAGTGGCAGTCGCATCTCGACGTGGCCACTCGATGGCCGCCGACATGAACTAATTTTATTTGACAACCCATACTTGTGCAAAACAAATTGCCACTGATGTGCGAAAGACCAAAACAGTTGGCAGCTCTGCGCAGCAGTCGACTTTTTTGTTGTTGTTTTTGTTGTTGTTGCTGTTGTGAAATTTCCAAATCATTGCGCATTTTCCAATGGCCAAGTCAGGCTCAGGCTAAGTCGCAGGCTCGGGCTCAGGCTCGGTCAGGAATTTAATTTGGGACTGAAGCATGGGTTTTATTTTTTGTTCAGCTCTTTTGGCCAGCTATATCCTTGACAATTCAAGGAATTTATAAGGTTCTGCGCAATGTTTAGACTGGGCAAGGTGCTGAGCCGGGCTATATTTGTGGCAGCGTCCAATTGGTCTAATTGTCACACTTACCTGTGGGCGTGGGCGAGACGGCCGCCAAACCGGGACTTGTTGTTGCCGTCGGCTGTGCAGCGCCGCTGCCCGTTGCAATGGCCTTGTTGGCCGCGCTGTCCAAGCCGCCCAGCAGCGGCAGATGTGGCGGCATGGGCACAGCTGCCATGCCCACGGGCAGACCCGGCGGCAGCCCGACACTGGGCATAACTGCTACGCTGGCGGTGCAAGTGGGCGTGACTGTTGAATAGGCCGCAGTGCTTTTGCTGGAGGTCCTTGTGGGGGCT